AGGGAGGGGGGACGGGGTGAAGGATGTCAGGCATCTGTAGGACCCAAGTCATCACCAGGGCCTGGCTCCTCTGGGGTTGGAAGATGGTCTTTTCTCCCAGGACACTGAGACTTCTGGGGGGGTGCGGGGCTAGGGCTGGGTGTCAACATGAATCCCTCCTGGTAGACTGACATCCCCCATAAGGGGGTTCTTAGAGCTGCTTCCTCTGCCCCAGTCTAACCTCTTTAGGCATAGGGTTGGGAAAATGGTCATTCAAGGCATTTTTGTCTTGTCTACCCACCCCTGTTAGCTGGAGGTGTCTTGTCTCTCATGCCTGGGACAGTCCCTTCCAGTCATCCCTCCAATTTTGTAAAGACAGACTGGACAAAAGCTCTTTAGTAATGACTAATGCCTACCTGTGGGGTTCTGTTTCCCATCCTTTGAGGCCTTCTCTCCTCCCTTACCATCACCCTGGGTCATGTTGGCTTGGTCTCTTTTGTGGCCTTGGGGCAGCTTCCCTGGCACTGAGACCCTTAAAGATGGATCTGCTGCAAACACCCAGGGCAAGAAAGAGGCACGAGCTGAGAGTTTGCATCTGGGGGAGGGTGCAGTAGGGGCCATTTGTTTTTTAGTCATTTGGGGATTTGTGGTATAATCAGATCATTAATGATCCAGAGTGTGGGAAGTGGGGAAGGGAGGTCCTTGAAGTGGCTAAATCTCATTGAACTTAAGACACTGACGGTTGCCAGATGCAGGGTTATTTTCTGAGAAGAAAATTAAAGCTGCCAATCTCACTTTTGCTACCCCGTTGGCTGTATTATGAGGTACCCTTACTTCAAGGTGGGGTGTCTCAGATTTGATGAGCCGTGAAACCTGCTCCCTGCACTCCCCAAAGCTTATTAACCCCTTAACTGTATCCCAGGGGATGTGTGTGTGTGTGTGTGTGTGTGTGTGTGTGTGTGTGTGTGTGTGTACATGTGTGCACGCACACGCGTGCTCATGGGAGATGCCTGGGCTGTCTTTGCTATATGTAAATAGGGCCACTGGATCTTTATTTTATTAATTTGTCTGATTTTTTGGTTTGTTTTCTAAGGAACTGTAATGAACAAATGTCAGGATACCCAATGCCAAATAAAGATGTTGTATTTATTTAGTCCATGTGTAGCTTTCTGACCCAGTGGGCCTTCTCCGCATAAGCACTGTTACTAACCCCAGGACTACCAGCCTTACTGCCACCACCCTCGCTTGCCTAGGAAACCCGACTGCTAGCCCACCCCAGCTTTCTGTGTTTCTCTTTCCTCCCCATTCCCACCACAGGTTGCTCACCAAGGTGAAGGGTTCGTAGCTGCCGGGATTGAAGACGTTGGCCTGGCGTCGTTCTCCCTTCTTGCCCTGGCCCAGCTGGGACCAAACTCTGATCAGTATTAGGGGTAGGGTGAGGCAGACAACTCCCTATCCACACTGCCCCTGCTCCCATGCTGGGCAGACTGACTAAGCTTTCTTTGTTAATGTTCCACCTCAGCCCTCAGCCCTTGCCACCCCAGTATTATTTCTTAGGTGAGTTTTGCAAATAAAATGTGTTTTGGATCTTGCCAGCTTGGGTTGGGGAGCATGAAAAGAGTGAGAGGGAGGAAGCACTTAAGCCTCATGAACATGATCCACAGTAAAGCTTTTATTAAAAACACCAGGGGGGCTGGGGGAATAGCTCAGTGGTAGAATGCTTGCCTAGCATGTACAAGGCCCTGGGTTCGATATCCAGTATCGCAAAAAGAAAAGAAAAAAGAAAATTGCCAGGGCTCCAGAGAACAAAGGTTCAGTCCTGCTGCTTGGTTCGGGAAGCCTCAGCATTGGCCCGGAGCACAGCCCCTGGGGATGGGTATGGACGTTGCTGGAAGAGGGGCCCCGCTGCTGTCGTGTCAGCACCCGTTTTAGCCTCATTCCGCTTGGGGAGTCCTGTTGACCATGTGCCCCTGGAGGTGATAGAGGGTCAAGGGGGTGGGAAAGGGGTATAGTGATCATCCCCCAACCAGTCAAGACTGAGAAAGGAGATGGTGAGGAGGATGGTATTCACAGGTGCAGTGAGAGTCATGAAGAAAGAGAAGGGCTCACATGGGGTTGTCACTTACCGGGGTGCATCAGAGTATGAGCTGGGGTCCATGGGGTCTAACTCGTCATCCTTTCGGCTTGCCACTAGGGAAGTAAATGGCAGGGGAAGTTCTTCAACTGAGGCAAAAGGAGTCCCTCATCATATAGCCCCCCATCCCAGGAAAAAAAATGGAGCCTGTAGCTGCAATGGACCACAGCACCCTTCTTCAGGATACCAGGTTCAGGCACCCGCCTGAGAGAGGGCTTCTTCATATTGTATGCCCTGGCAAGCTGAGTAGCTCACCCAAGTCCCAGCCTGCTTTGCTTACCCTTCTTGCTCTTGGGGTAGGGAGCCAGTTCCTCCCTGCGATGGTGGCGCCGTTCTTTGCCCTCTTCCCGGTCTGCCTTGTCATACCCACGGTCCCGATCCCGTTCCCTGTCCCGTTCTCTCTCTCTGTCTACTTTGTCATAGCTACGTTCTCGATCTCTGTCAGACTTGTCATGGTTCCGATCCGACTTGTCATGGCCCCGGTCCAGCTTTTCATGGCCCCTGTCCGACTTCTCATGGCCCCTGTCTGACTTCTCATGGCTCCGATCTGACTTCTCCTCAGCATCTAGGGAAAACATGAAAGTCCTGAAGTGACTTTCTCCCATTCCAGGACCCAGCAATCTCCACCTTTAACATCCTCACTAGCCTGGGACTGGGGCTGCTTGGTCTCATCTGCCCCTCCTTGATCCACTAAAATTTACTTGGCCCCTCTCAGAACTGCAAGTCTCGAGGCACCACTGGATCTGCCAACTCACCTGCATTACTGCTCCTGAGCTTCTTGGCAGATTTGGTAACCACGGAGTTGGGGTCATGTGGGGAGAGCCAGGACACGAGGTCTGTGTCCACATTCCAGTAGTAAGGGAGCCCGCTGTGGGGCAGTGGGAGGGAAGGAGTGTCAGCACAGATGTCTTCTACTTGTAAGAACTCTTTGTCTCCCCAATCTCTGCCTATATCTGCCCCATGTCAGGACCCCAGATCTCTTCCCGTGTACCCTATATGCCCCACAGTCAGGGACAACAAGGAAGGGCAAACTCAAAAGTCAGTTGCCCTTCCCCCCCAGGTCCCCAGGCTCACCAGGAAGGGTCGAACACCTTGTACCAGCTGGGTGGCAGGCCCTCCAACCGGGTGGCCTCATAGTCCACAGGATCATCATCATAGTCCTCAGCAATGATCTCTTCCTCCGGTTCTAGCAGAACGAGGAGGAGGAGGAGGAGGAGGAGGAGGAAAGAGGAGGTGGGGGGAGGAGGGGGAGGAGGAGGGAGGAGGAGGAGGAGGAGGAGGAGAGCAGTTAAGGAACAGGGGAGTTCTCATCCTACAGTCAGGGCCTGGAGAGGCACACTCATATCCACACAAATCACATGTGGAAGACACTTGGGTGTATGTGTGTGCCAGGAAGCAAATGAAGTACTTCTTGCATTTCAAGCACATCTGTTTTAGGGAATTTGCCAGAAAATTTACCTAAATCTTTTGGTTCTGGGTCCAGACGATGAGTTTATAATGTTATCCAAACCTATCTGTTTTCAGAGTTGATAGGAATTCATAAAAAATTATCCATGTCATGCTGGGGGTATAGCTCAGTGGTAGAGCACTTGTCCAGCATGCACAAGGCCCAGTATTCCCAAGAAAAAATTTATCCATATCCATTCAGTTCCTGAGTTCACGTTATCCCAACCTATGTAGATGAAGTGAGTTTGATCAGCAAGGGGGTTATCTAAAAATAATGTCCAATCTATTCAGCTTCCAAGTTTGGTGAGTACAGGGTTCCTGATTCCTCTATATTGAGTAGCAAGAGTTTGGGTAGCAAAAGGGACTTATCCAAATATTGGTCTGAATCCATTAAGTTTCTGAAGTCTTATTAAGCCTGCAACAGATGTCAGTTAATATCAATAGAATAAAAAGTGTCTACTATCAGCTCAGTGCTGGCTATCAGTAGATCCTATAGCAGACTTTAGCTGTGGATATAATTAACAATGAAATATAGATGCCAGCAATGGCATAATGACTGTCACACAGTAGGCCTGAAATAGATATTAGATATAATCATCAATATTGCTAATAAGATGTATTTCTACATCAGCAGTGCACCTAGTACTTAATAGGCTTAAAAGAAATGTCAATGATATGGAATCGGGGGTGTAGCTCAGTGGTAGAGCACTTGCCTAGCATACTCAGAAACCTGGATTCAATCCTTAGCACCACCAAAAACCAATACTCTTAATACTATTAACCACAAGTTCAATGCCTGGCCCACAGTGGTCTTGTAATAGATATCAATAAGGAAATAGTATGATACATTTTTTAGTGCCTGGCACACCATAGCCTAAAATATATACCATGTTTTAATATTATTTTTTTTTAAAGAAAGAGTGAGAGAGAGAGAGAGAGAATTTCTTAATATTTATTTTTTAGTTCTCGGCGGACACAACATCTTTGTTTGTATGTGGTGCTGAGGATCGAACCCGGGCCACGCGCATGCCAGGCGAGCGCGCTACCACTTGAGCCACATCCCCAGCCCCATGTTTTAATATTATTGACCATAAGATATAATTAGCAGCCAGAAACACAGTAGGCCTAAGTGATAGATCCTAACCATCATTTTAGACTGTTAGGCATAATAAGTATGCCATGTTCTTAGGTCCCAAATACATGTCAGCTGTTGATATGGTGAACAATAAAGTATACGTCACCACTGTTGTGTCAATCACCAGAGGACCTGTGAGACACATGCTATCTATAGTAGACAACAAAACATCACCCCACCACTATACTTGACAACAAGAGACTGCAGGATTTGTCAACTCTCCTTCCTATTAGATACCATGTAGTTAAACCCTACAGATTGATTCACAGATTTATTTTAATTATTTTTTGAAATTGTGTCTCATGATTGTTGTCCAGACTGGCCTAGAACTCCTGAGCTCAAGAAATTCCCCCCACCTTGCCTCAGGCTCCTGAATATCTTGGTCTGTAGGTGCACGTCATTGCACCACCTTGATTCATGGATTGAACATGGCATCTGATATGGGTATTGATAAGGATGAAATATCTAACCTCCAACCCTTCCTACATACAGTGCTTAGCACACAGTAGGAATGGATGTCAGTAAATAATATTGTTATCAATGAGATGCCTGCCATGTCACTGGTTGGGGAACACTAGGCCCTTGCTGGTTACCAAGTGCCGACATAAAAACAAAGTGCCTGTCAAGAATGGCAAATCGTGGCCCATCTACTCTTAGCTTTCTCACCAGGCTCCAGATGTTTCAGGATCCCTCTCTTGGCCAAGCGGGTCTGCAGTGCAACCGGCAGCGGCATAGCGGTAGGTGACAGACCTAGGGACGGAAAGACAAGACTGAAAATCAGTTCAAATGAAGAATCTAATCTAGATCTAATAACTAAGAATCTCCCTGAAGCCTGTACTACTCTTACGACCTCCACCTACCTAACTGCACCAATAGCTAGACTAACAATCTACGTGCTAAGAGATGGAAGAGATAGGTGGCAGTATCACCAAAATTCTCACCAACCCTGCTCTCGAGACCGGATGCTGCAGCATCCAGTTCCTCTTCCAGGCACAGGCTCCGCCCACTGCTGAGTGTGCCATGTGCCGCACCCCTGCACCCCAGAAGTGGGCTCACCCACTGTCCCTCAAAGACTGCTGGGTGGGAGGAACTAAGGCGTTGGGATGGGGGAGCTGGATGCAACACCTCCTCCAGATCTAAAAATATGTGCCCACCTCAGGATTACCAAAACAATCGTGCGGGTAGTGGAAAAGCTGTTAGACCGGCCGACACACCCTCGTCGCCACTATTATCACCAGTACCACGCGAATCTATATTTTTCCCCCTCGAAGCACAAAATGAAGTCCTCTTCCCCGAAGCCTTGAGGTAACTGGGCGACGCAAGGGCTGCAGTGAGCTGATGACGCAAACATAGCTGACCAATAAGAGTGCTCCTTTGGCTTGACGAGTAGCGAAGCGACCCAATCGTTTCCCTGGACGAGGTGAAAAGCTCGCGCGCCTATATGCGTTACACTGGGGGCGTGGCCTGGTTAGGGTCCCGCCAAACTGCGCCGCCAGACGCGGGCGCCATGGAGGAGCCTTGGTACGACAACAGTCACAGGCACTGGGACTGCGGTTGCGGCGCCCAGGCCAGCCATGGGAGGTGGACGGGAGACACACAGGCCACACAGTGTCACGTACCGAACTCGGGAGACTCTCAGAAACTTCCTTCCGCCCCCTCACCTGGCTCCTCCCACTCAGGCTCTGTTAAGAGAATCCACAGTTGTGTGCTTGAGTAGGTGCGGTGCAGTACGGACTATCAGACGTTTCCCCTGACTTCGTATCTCATAATCCCTCTTTGTTATCAAAATGATACCGCTGGTCAAATCCACTTCAGCGGAGGGGGGCTGCGGTATTAAGTGGAAACCCCCAGGATTATAAAACATGGTTTTTCCCACGTCGCTTTCATAAATAGGGGCGGGGCGTGGGTGAGCCTATTTGTGGGTAAGGCGGGGGCGCTGGGATCCTCCTTGTGGTCTTTTTGGGTTTTCCCTGGTGTTAGGTGTAAAAGGAGTGGGGCTTGGATGTACAGGGCTGATCATCTGAGAAGGGCGTGTCACCAGGCCCTGCTTTAGTAACAGTACTAACTAATTAAATCTCTCTCTCTCTCTCTCTCTCTCTCTCTCTCTCTTTTTTTTGTGGTACTGTAGATTGCACTCAGGGGCGTTCTTGCCCTGAGCCATTTCTCCAGTCCTTATTTTTTGAAACAGGGTCACCCTAAATTGTCCTGGCAACCCTTCTGCCCCAGCCTCCTCCAGATTGGCTGGAATTACAGGCATGCACCACCGTGCCCAGCTAGTTAACACTTCTATATCCCTAATTGAAATGTGCCAACTCAAATTTTAATAGGGGTTAAACAGTTGGCTAATTCCTTTGTTGGAATAGAGTAATAATTTCGCCCTTTTGACCCATTTCTCTTGTGGGGAGGGGAAAGGTGATAAGACAATCTTGTTGCTTTTGGGGGGAGGGTAGTTGGGATTGAATCCAGGGGTATTTTACTATTGAGCTACATCTTCAGCCTTTTTTTTTTTTTTTTTTTTGAGACTGGATCTCACTGATTTGTTGAGGCTGGCCTTGAATTTGTGATCCTCCTGCTTCAGACTCTTTGAGTTGCTGGGATTATAGGCATGCACCCACCATACCAGACTTACTTTTTTAAATTTTGAGTAGGGTCTTACTAAGTTGCCCAGACTGGCCTTGAATTCGGGGTCCTCCTTAGCCTCCCAAGTGACTTGGATTATAGGCATGTGCCATCAAACCTGGCTATCTTGTTACTATCTGAAGTGTTTTTTTCTGCTGCATGAACTTCCCATTCTGGTGACATGGTTTCTCCCAGTTGGAAAGAGTCTAGATGCTGGGGCCTGGGGTAATCAGCTTGCATTAACTCCATCTTTCCCTTCCTGCTTGCAGCCCATGGCGAATTGTGGATGATTGTGGTGGAGCCTTCACTATGGGTGTCATTGGAGGTGGAGTCTTCCAGGCTATCAAGGGCTTCCGCAATGCCCCTGTTGTGAGTTCTGGCTTTCACTGGTGTTGGGGGGTCAGAAGACATTCTTATACAGAATGCTGCTCTGAAAACTGCTGGGAGCAGCCATTCCATGTGCACTTATTCATTCTGGTACCTGCTCACGTACTGTATGCCAGGCCTGGCTTCTGGACCTGGGATTTTGGAGGAACTACACACAGACTCCTGTCTTCCTTCCACCCATCTAGAGCTGCTCTGTGAAAATAGTATACTTTCAAAACAGTAGTTAGGGTTTGGGGTATGGCTCAGTAGTAAAGCACCTACTAGCATGCCTGAGTCCAGGTTTGATCCCCAGCACTACAAAGAAAAAAAAAGTCTCCAAATCCTAAATGTGTATGCAAAGCCAGACAGATTTTACCTAAAGACAGATTCTAGGTTAGAAACCTAGATATAGGGAAGTGACAGGAGTTTAGTTGGCAGAGAGAATAAAGTCTTACAATTGAGAAAATCCTTTTTTTCCTCCACTACTAGAGATTGAACCCAGGGACATTGTACCACTGAGCTGCATCCCCAGCCTTTGTTATTTTTTTTCTTTTGAGACAGCATCTTGCTAAACTGCCAGAGCTAGCTTCCAACTTTGAATCCTACTGCCTCAGTACTCTAAAGACTCTGAGAAAAGAAAACCCTTTTGATTTATAAAAACATTTATGTATTTATTTTTGGTACTGGGAATTGAATTTAGGGGCACTTGACCACTGAGCCATACCCCCAGCCCTATTTTGTATTTTATTTAGAGACAGAGTCTCACTGAGTTGCTTAGCACCTCACCATTGCTAAGGCTGACTTTGAACTCATGATCCTCCTGAGCCACTGGGATTACTGGCGTGCACCTGGTTTAACATAAACATTTTTGTCTCTTGCTCTCTCACCTGCCCAGAATATCTCATCAAATGTCATTCAAAGATCTCTACAATTTTTACCTCTAGTTCTGTCCCTCCCCTCAACTCTGGGAACGCTCTTTCCTGGATCTTTGCCCACATTTCTCATTCTGAGGATCTTAGCACATACTGCTCCCTTCCTTATTTATTTATTTATTTTTTGGGGGTGCTGGGCATGGAACCCAGGACCTCCTGAAGGCATGCTAAGCACGTGTTCTACCACTGAGCTACATTCCCAGTGCCCCACATGTGCTCCCACCTTAATGAGTCATCAGTCACTATCAGATCTCTTCATCCTATTTTTTCTAGAGTTTGTGTTACTGTCTGAAACTGTCTCATTTATTTGCTCAGGATCTGTTGTCCCACTACAATATGAGCTCTGAGAGGAGAGGGACCAAATCTACCTTGTTCACTGCTGTATCCCTGCAGTGTGGTGCCTGGTACATAGTAGGTGCTCATTAGCCATTTATTGAGTGAATGAGTGTACAAAGGAATTAATTAGAACTTATCAACCCAACTTTGGCAACACCTATGCTAGAGTGCCCTCAAGACCCCTAGTTCTTGGCTGCTTTTCCACATCTAATAGGTCACCTGTGTCCTTCCCTATTTTTTTTTTTTTTGTATATGTGGTGCTCAGGATTGAATCCAGGGGCTCAGAAATGCTAGGTAATGCTCTGCCACTGAGCTACATCCCAAGCCCACCTCTTTCCTCTCTTTTTTAAAATATTTTTCTTTTTTTTAGTTTTTGGTGGACACAACATCTTTATTTTATTTTTATGTGGTGCTGAGGATGGAACCCAGCGCCCTGCACATGCCAGGCAAGTGTGCTACTGCTTGAGCCACATCCCCAGCCCCCTCTTTCCTCTCTTAAAGGCTAGAAATCCTGCCAGTGGCCTCAACTCTGCCCTTACTTATTTTGTTACTTTTCCCAGGGAATTCAACATCGGTTAAGGAGTAGTATCAACACTGTGAGGATCCATGCACCCCAGATTGGAGGTGAGAGTCTTGTAATGCAATAGGAAATATGATGGTAGTGTTGAGGGAAGTCGATCCTTTAGGGACAGATGCAAGTGGGAGGTTCAGATTTTAGTTCAGACTCTGCCTGAGTTCTTCCAATGGAGGTGACATTTCCAAACAATTAAACATGGAAGAGTAAGAATGTAGATTCCAGAGTTTAAATATAGCCCCCATGTCTTCCTTGTTTTGTGGCCTTGGGCTAGTAGCATGCCTTTCTGAACCTCATCTATAATAGGGTGATGATGATTACATTAACCACCTTATCAGTAGTTTTGTAATTTACGTGATTTACTTGGTACTAAGTGCTGGTTGCTATGCTAAGCAAACCCTTAAATAATATTAACTAATTTAAAATTAACAATGTCAACTAACAGTATCTCATATAGGTCCTGAAACACAATAACCCCTCAAACATATTAACTACAATTATCCTAAATGCTTGAGACTAGAAGTATTTTGGATTTCAGAGTTTTTTCAGATTTTAGAATATTTGCATATGCCTAATGAGATATCTTAAGAATGGACCCAAATATAAATAGGAATTTAATTTAATTTGTGCTTTATATATTACCTTATATAGATAGGCCAAAAGTAACTATATATATTTTCTTTTTGTGCAGTGCTAAGGATCAAACCAAGGCCTAGGTCATTCTAGGCAAGTACTCTACCACTGAGCTACATCCCCAGTCCTATAGACTTACTTTTTAAGAGATGAGGTCTTGGAACTGGGGAATCTACTTCAGTGGTAAAGTGCTTGCCAAGCATGTACAGGGCCCTGGGTTTGATTCTCAGCAACACACACACCCACACCCTAAAAGGTGGAGTCCAGGCTGGTCTCAAACTTATTTATTTTTTTAGTTGTTGATGGACCTTTACTTCATTAATTTTTTTGTGGTGCTGAGAATCGAACCCAGTGCCTCACATATGCTAGGCAATCAGTCCACCACCAAGCCACAACCCTAGCCCTGGTCTCAAATTCTTTTTTTTTTTAATATTTACTTTTTAGTTGACACAACACCTTTATTTCACTTGTTTATTTTTGTATGTGGTGCTGAGGATCAAACCCAGGGTCTCGAGTGTTCGAGGCGAGCACTCTACCACTAAGCCACAACCCCAGCCCCCCTGGTCTCAGATTCTTGAGCTCAAGAAATACACCTGCCCTATCCTCCTGAGTACCTAGGACTACAGGTGCTCACCACCACACCCTGCTAATTTTTGTAGTAGTTTTAGTTCATCTGCATTTTGATTGTGACCCATCATGTGATGGCAAATGTGGAATTTTCCACTCGTGGTATTTGTCCATACTCAAAAAGCTTTGGATTGGGAGCATTTTATATTTCTGGATTAGAGATGTTTAACCTATATATACTTTTCTTCCCTGGTGATAGTGCTGGAAATTGAATCCAGGGCCTCATGCACGCTGTTTAAGCTCTCCACCACTGAAATCTAATGAGTTCTAGCTAGTTTTTAAAAATTTTATTTTCAGGGGCTGGGGATGTGACTCAAGTGGGGATGTGACTCCCCTGGCATTCGCGGGGCGCTGGGTTCGATCCTCAGCACCACATAAAAATAAAATAAAGATGTTGTGTCCACCGAAAACTGAAAAATAAATATAATTTTTTTTTTATTTTCAGATAAAGTCTTGCTAAATTTCCCAAGCTGACCTTTTAACTGGTGATCCTCCTGCCTCCACCTCCCAAGTTGCTGAGATTACAGGTGTGCACCACCATACCCAGGTGTATATTTTGTTATTAACTGACTTTCCTGACCTGTTTCTTTCTCCCTGAAATCAAGGCCTGAAATCCAGCTGTCTGTAGTGATTAAACGATCAAAGTTGTGCTGGGCATGGTGATGTATGCCAGTGGTGCAGTAGTGGTGCAGTAATTCCAATAACTTGGGAGGCTGAGACAGGAGGATTACACATTCAAGGCTAGCCTCAGCAATTTAGCAAGGCCCTAAGCATCTTAGCAAGACCCTGTCTTAAAAAATAAAAAGGGCTGGGGATGTGGCTCCCTGGTGCCAAAATAAAATTGAAGTTGCCTATTAAAAGCCATATAAAAGATGAGTATGCTTGTAACGTTTGTCACCTCCTTATAAAGGTGAAGGAAATATCAATTGTTAGCATAATTGCAGCCATCTTCCTTTTCCCCACCCCCATTTTATGAATACTGTTCTTATTCCCAAGAATAGAAAGTAGCCCAAGATAAAACCTATCAGCCTGGAGACCTGCTGGTCTCTCCCTGTTCTCTTATGGAGAGCTAGGAGATAGCTTACCTGCGCCTGAGAAGGGGACGTGATGGTTTCCCTGTTCTTTCCTTGAGAAGATAAAGGGACATGCGGGTTTCCCTGTTCGCCCTCTGAGAGATAGGAAAATTGCCCGTCTCTGTTCCCAAGAAACAAACTCGCCTTCCACAAGATGAGGGGATACTTACTATGTCAGTCCAGACTAAACCTGCCCCTAGCGCGCGGCCATGATTCTAGCCTATAAAAGGTAACAGTCAAGGGGTTGTTGTGCTGCTCTCCCTAGCTTGCTGCTGCTGTCCCTGTCTTTGTGCAGAGCAACCTTGTCGGGCTCCTGACAATAAACCAGAGTCTTATCCCAGGTGTGTGAGATCAATCCTGTGCCACTTCTCTTTCATCAATGACAATTAAAGATGGCTTGAAGTGGAAGTTACAAAGGATGTGAACAGACATAATATTTCAGGGGAGTTTGCTCTCCTCCTTTATATCAGGTTTTCTCCCATTCTTTTTTGTAGTGCAGAAGTTAGAACCCAGGCCTCACTCATGCTAAGCAAGCACTATACAACTGAGCTACACCCCTAGACTCTTTTTTCCCAATTTTGACCAGAACATTTAAGCCTTAGAACTCCCCAAACCTCGAGATATGGGTTCTTGGGATTTCCCAGATACACTAATTAAGCTTCTGTCCCCTTACAGGTAGCTTTGCAGTGTGGGGGTTCCTGTTCTCAACCGTGGACTGCGGCCTGGTGCAGCTGCGAGGCAGGGAGGATCCCTGGAACTCCATCACTAGTGGTGCAGTGACTGGGGCTGTGCTGGCTGCCCGCAGTGAGTGCCCCCTCATCCCTGACCCTTGAGCCTCCCACACTGTTCTGCCTGCCCTCACTTTTTTCCTCTCTTCACCCCTCAGGTGGACCATTGGCAATGGTGGGCTCAGCGATGATGGGGGGCATTCTATTAGCCCTCGTTGAGGGTGTTAGCATCCTCCTCACTCGCTTTACCTCCCGACAGTTCCGCAATGGTGAGTACCTAGTGATGATTGTCAGTGAGAGAGGCAGAAAATGCTCTACCTGTCCTCCTCCAATCGTCCTAACATCATTCTCCCTTCTCTAGTACCCCCATTGCTAGAGGACCCCAGCCAACTCTCCCCTAAGGAGGATACCCCAGACACAGACTTTCCCAGCTGTCAGCAATACCATTAAGGAAGCCGCCACATGACACCACCACTATGGGAGCTGCTCCTCGGTTCTCTCACCAGTGATCTACCTCTAAGGGAGGGCTAACTTTTAGTTAGCCCTGGACTCTCCCGAGAGGGCCTTTATTCTGCTCCCTTGTCCCAGGGTAGGGGTGGGGCATCCCAGTGGCCTTGACAGGCCGATTCCCTTTTTCTCTCTCAGGGCACCCTAGTCCCACATTCACATGTAATAAGTTCTCATCCCAGCTTCTTTGTGTTGCACCATGATGAGTTTTTTAAAGCCAGTTTTGAAATTCCTGTTTATGCACTCCCAGGACCTCCCTCTCAGGACAAGGGCAGAGCCCTTTTCATGACTCAGAAGCCCTAGGACTTAGAGTCCCACCATGAATGGGCTCTAATAAACATTTATGGGATGAATGAGCAGGAAGGGAGAAGTGCATGAAGATAAGAATTGGGTACATGCATAAGGGTGTGCAGGAGCCAAACAATGAATGAGCAGACAGGAACATGTTTGAAAAGAAGTGCACAAACACAGGGATTGTTGGGGGTGCACATGTTTGTGCATGTTGTACCCCTGACACTGTACACATACACATTCTGCTATCCTGACCCCTCCTCCATAAGCTCCCATGGCCAAAGCTGGGAAATTGACCTTACAAGAAGCCCTTTCTTTCTAGATACCAGTCACCCCATTTTCAAAAATTATCCCCATCCAATGTGACCTCACTGTGGCCCTAGAATGGAAGTTGGTGTCAGGGAGATATGGTTTCTTCAAAAAAAGGTCTCCTGTGTCAGTCTCCCCTTCTATCACAGGAATACTTTTCTACAGAGTAGATCATGCAGTGTTGTCAGTTGTTTGGATCACTGTCTTAGCCCACCTGAGCCTCCAGAGTAGCTAGGATTACAGGTGTGCCTCACCATGATTGGCTTAGTTGTTTGTTTGTTCAGGCCAATCATAAAAGAACTAGAAATTAATTTTCATTTTAGGATAGGAAATGAATGGGCAAGAGATTTTTTTGGATGGACATCACATTCACGTGATGTCACTTATGTGTAAATCCTATGTGGCTGAGGCAAATTGGGGTGCAAATGCCACAGGGAGGCACAAAAGCTTCCAGAGAAATCAAGGGTTTCCTTTGCACAAACGGCCGCAGTACACATGACCTCATGGGAGACAAAACCTGTTCCTATCTGCAAGCCATTGCAACTTGATGGAAATGCTCTTTCCCTGGTATAATATTGGTTCATAGGGATGCAAAGGTGTCAGAGCCACTATGCATCCTGCATGAATGATAGTGCCAGGTAGTGCATGACCACCCCACCAAGGGCCTGAGAAAAGCAGGGCAGGATGGGGTTAGTGTGCATCAGGAACATGGCTGGAGCCTTGGGGTATGACCCCTAACCATTGGTGCCACAGACACTTAGAGCAGCAGTGCCTTCTGGACCTCTTCTGCACTCCTAGGCCTCATCCCACTCAGGATTATTCCAGTGGCCTTTTTGGTCTAGTCTGCTAGTTACTTCCAGCCCTCATCTTGCTTACTACCTCTGCCAGGCCTTTCTTTTCCAGGAGTCCACCAGCCTTACTCCTTGCCCATCTTTCCATGCTGCCCTCTAAGGCAAATGCAGCTACCGCCTCTACACAATCCTACACTATCTCCCTCGTCCCCTTTAAATGGGCCCTGGCCCTACAAACCCCTTACTATCTGCAGGTTCTCCATCCTCTGTAGCCTCTAAATTCTACCTCATCTAACTTTAAGGTCCCATCCCTTAAGGCACTTCCAAATGCTATGGCAGTCAGCCCTCCTCTGTGCCTGGGAATCCATTCAAGTTCACCACTGGGGGGCAACTGGACCAATGCAGTCTGGGCCCCTGTAGGTGGCTCGCCTGCTCACCAAGTAACATTCAGGGCCTCTTCCTACAGTAGTTCCTCCAGCCTCTAGTTGGGATAGGGTAGGCTGATGCCAGATTTAAAATATGAAGGAGAGGGGTTAGAAAGTGAGGCTTAGAAAATAAAGAATCTGCACCCTGGGTAATTTGTACTGCTAAAGTTTTAATAAACTTGAAATGAGAAGGAGGGAAAGAAAGAGTTGTAGGGCAGCTTCAGATTATGGTGCATGTGTCAGCTTCCTAAGAGAAATATAGGGTCAGATTCAGGGAGGGACTGAGATGGAGAGAAGGTAAAAGAGACAACAGAGTTGAGAGATGAGAAGTAGAAACAAAGAGATGCACATAGGGAGATACAGAGGTGGAGGCAGAAAGAGACATGCAAGAGATAAATGAAAAAAGAGGGAAAGAGCAGGGCATGGTGACACATGCCTTTAATCCCAGCAGCTTGGGAGACTGAGGTAGGAGGATCATGAGTTCAAAACCAGCCTCCGCAACTTAGCAAGGCCCTAAGCAACTCAGTGAGACCCTGTCTCTAAATAAAATACAAAATAGGGCTGGGGGGGCTGGGGTCATGGCTCAGTGGTAGTGTGCGTATCTAGCATGTGTGAGACACTGGGTTCGATTTTCAGCACCACATAAATAAATAAATAAAATAAAGGTCCATCAACAACTAAAAAATATTTTTAAAAAAACATAGGGCTGGGGATGTGGCTCAGTAGTTGAATGTCCTTGAGTTCAATATCTGGCACAAGAAAAAAAGGAGAAAGAATAAAGACAGAGGAGTAGAGGAGTAACAGGAATCTCTGTAAGGGTCAGAAATGCAGCAGGGAGGAGACAGTATATGCAGCGCCAAATGCAGGAGAGCAAGCAAGGTGTGAGTGGTTCCCATGGTGGCAGCATGGAGGTACCTACTGTACTGAGAGTCTGGACCCACAGCGAATGGTCAGGCCAGCCTGCCTCAGGCCTCTGGCCCTTTACCTTCTAACTGGGGTCCTTAAGGAAACACACAAGTGCTTCACCTGCATCCTCTTTCTCAAATACGCCCCTACTGTGCTGGGAATGGAACCCATAGGCCCTCTCAGACTAATTGCTGGCTCTACCACTAGGCTACACCCCAGCCCTTCATCTCTGATTTATTCCTATTTATTAACATCTACATCCACCAAGGATTTCAGTGGCCCTCCTTCAGGTTTTTCCAGTCTCTTCCACACTTCCTCCCTGCCTCACTCCCATCTTTGTCTCCATCTATCTTGATTTGTCACTCAGCTCTTCTACCCCATTCTTCTGCTTTGATCTCCCTGGCTGATGGTTCTTACACTCCCTATAGCCCCTGGAATTGCCATCCACATATGTGCATGGGGAAAAGGGAAAATACTGGGTGGGCAAGGTGTTCTAAAGAGATGGGCTTAATCAAGGAAGAGGAAGAGGGTCTAAACCCTGACAGTAGGGTAGGGGTCACCCTATCCACTTGATCAAGAAGAGATCCTGAGTCATGTACAACTAATTAGAATAAATTAAAAAATAAAATAAAAAGGAAGTGATCCTGAGAGGCTAGGGAGAAAGACAGACATGGGAAATTAAAGACAGGTAATAGAGAGACACACAGGAAGAATCAGAAGAATAGGGAGAAAGATACCAATAGAAAAAAAGCTGGGTGCAATGGTGAACACCATGGTATGTGCCTGTAATCCTAGATACTGGGAAGGTAAGGGAGAAGTATCTCTTGAACCCAGGAGTTCAAGGCCAGCCTGGGCAACATAGGGGCACCAGAGGTTACAGAGAAATCAAAGGAGAGACAGATGCAGAATGATACCCGGAGACATAAGAAGTGGTACAACAAGCAAAAAAGGAAAAAGATTAATAGAAAGGAAATGGAGATAGTTGAGACAAAAGTTGAAAACAAAAATGAAAACAGATGAGCAGAGAAAGTGTGACAAGATGGAGATGGTAAGAAAGAGTGCCATGGGTTCAATCTCCAATAATAAAAAAAAATGGGCTGAGGTCGTGGCTCAGTGGTAGAGCATTTGCCTAGCACATGTGAGACATTGGGTTGATCCTCAGCACCACATAAAAATAAATGAATAAATAAATGTATTGCTTCTATCTACCACCAAAAAAAAAGCTTAAGAAAAAGAACATGTACCAATGTTAACCAAAGACAGAACAGAATGCTTATATTATAAACAGCTTTATTCATAATCACCCCAAGCTGGAAACCAATCAAAAGCACATCCACCCCCAAGAGTGGATGATAAAGTGTGGCATATTCACATTGTTGGGGGAGGGTCTTCATGGATTGCTCAGGTTTCTGTGTAGTCCTGGCCTGAGCCAAAGGCATGTTTGAACAGTAAATTAAAGAACATATAACTCCAGAAAGATTGAGACAGTTCAGGGTAACCTAGAAATGCTACCCTCACCTCCAACTAAGAGATTGCTGACATTCCAGGATAATGAGGAATCTGATGGAGAGGAGCTCAGGCAAGTATGTCAATAGCTTCTGAACATCTTCAAGTCTCCTAATTTTAGGTTCTTCTCCCATGCTGCCATCAGGCACCCACAGGAAACATCCAGCCCTGTACAAATTGGGGCATGAAATATCGACCCACAATGTTAGTTGCTCTGGTTGCTGGTTTGGGGTATAATAAGTAATAAATGGTCTGTTTTTCTGATTCATGGGTTTTTGTGTTTTTTATTTGTTTGTTTTGTTTTTGTACTGGAGATTGAACCCAGAGCCACTTTATCACTGAACCACATCACCAGGTGTTTTTGTTTTTGAGACAGGGCCAACTTAAGTTGCTTCCAGCCTTACTAAGCTGCTGAGGCTGGCCTCGAACTTTTGATTCTCCTTCCTCAGCTTCCTGAATTGTTGGAATGACAGGTGCACACAACCATATCCAGTGGTCTTGTGATTTTATGTATGTTTGTGCATGCACACATGTGCCTAAATGTATCATGGATTAGGGATATATAGTTCAGTGGTAGAGTGCTTGTCTAGCATGTGTGAGGACCTGGGTTCAATCCTGAGCAATGCAAAAATAATTAGTTTAGAAAAAAAACCTGGGCTGGGGATGTGGCTCAAGCGGTAGCATGCTCGCCTGGCATTCGTGCGGCCTGGGTTCAATCCTCAGCACCACATACAAACAAAAATGTTGTGTCCGCCAAAAACTAAAAAATAAATATTAAAAAATTCTCTCTCTCTCTCTTTCTCTCTCTCTCTCTCTCTCTCTCTCTCTCTCTCCC